TTCCAATTTAATAGAAGAAAGTATTCTTGTGTTGAGGGAGTACTTGAGTGGAGGGAGGGCACTCCATCTTGAGAGACTGTTGTTCCTGGTTCTGGATGCCCCATAGCTCCTGTGCTCAGCCAGAAGCTCCTGGTGGTTGCTGGTAGTGGGGGCTGTCGTACTTTCCCTGGTACAAAAAAAATCTCATGCATCGTTGAGGTACCCAATGAGTACCTAGCCAGAACTGTGGCCCGTGGCCACACCTGGATGCAGGTGAGGATGGCACGTTGGCAGCCAATCAGAGTGTTGTTAGTAAGGAGCCCTTGGAGAGTGGATGTTGGGTGGTAACTAGCAGTGCCTGGCTCCCCCTGCCCCATCAGCCTTCCAGTTGAACTAATGCTGCTAGTGTGAAGCCCAAGCCAAGAAGGGATCTGAGTGCAGAGTTGCCCCCTGGCTTCTCTGAAATAGACAGGGCTGCTGGCCTGCTCTCAGGCCTTTGGAGGATGGAGCCCCTGGACACAGAGCATCCCGAGCGCCCGCTGCCTCCCTCCTTTTCCGGAGATCTTCATGCCCTTTCTTCCACTCCCCCTAATCACACCACCCCCTCCCCACAGATCAGCCACGGCCCCACGTTCACCTGCAGCATCGTAGGGTACTCCGTGAGCCCCGCCATGCACTTCTCCTTCACCAGCTACAACTTTGGGACCTGCTTCATCTACCAGGCAGGGATGCCCCCCTACAAGCAGGTGCTGTCTATCACCAACAAGGAGGAAATGTCCATGAGGTAAGTAGGCTCCAGGTGAGCCCACAGCTGCTGGGGTGTCCTGCCAAGACCAGAGGAGGAGGATTGTGGGAAATAAGGGGGCATCTGTCTGAAGCCCCCCTTTCCCAAGGGTAATGGTCTGTGGCTGTGCTGCTAAAAAAAAATCCTCTTGCCTGAAGTAGCAAGGGCAATGCCCAATGGCTTCCACATACTTCCCTTCTGCGGAGACTTCTCAGGAGAGTGACCACGGAGTCCTCGGCAGATCCATCGTGAGCCCCAGCCTTTGATACAGACTCACCTGTCGGCACCTTCCCCGGAGGGAACGTCCCAGGACAGGTGTCAAGGCCTCATTCCAGACCTGACTGCCCAGAGACCTGAGTCCACTCTGAGCCCTCTCGATCTGTATCCCCACCATCCAACCTGGTTGCTGCGGCTACATGTCCACGCCAGGGAAGCACTTTAAGTGTGGCAACTGAAGAGCTGGCTTAGGTTTTATGTTTTTTGTTTTAATTAATTAAACTTTAATTAGCCATGTGTCTCCTAGGTGCAAATCCCAGCTCTTCCCTAGTTAGTGATCTTGGGAACTGGTTTTAAATTTGCCTGTGCTTCTGCCACCTTGTCTGGAGTGGGGGCTGATGAGTACCTCCGACACAGGCTAGTAAGGAACCTGGGTCATGCTGTGGATTAGGTGTGGGGCTGCTAACCGCTAATGTCAGCAGTTCAAACCCACCAGCCGTTCCTTGGGGAAAAGGTAAGGTTGTCCGTGTCTGTAAAGATTGACCGCCTCAGAAACTCTATATCGTCACTGTGAGGGGTCAGCAAAGAACAGAGAGGAAACCCTAACAAGATGGAATGGCACAGTGGCAGCAACAATGTGCTCAAACATAAACCAGTTGTGCCGAGGGCCCAGAACTCGGCAGTGTCTCATTCCATTGTACAACAGTCCGTCTGGCCACTACGAGTCAGAACCGGCTTCCGGTACCTAGCCGCACCCACATGGGCCCTAACTGACTCCATGGTAGTGGATTTGGTTTGACCCAAACTCTGATGAGGGTTCAATTAGTTCATCTCCAGGGACACCACAGCAGCAGCCCTTCATTGTTAACTACTATTGTCGTCGTCGTCGTCGTCGTCGTTATTTTGCACTCATACACTCTCAACTACTTATACTCTTGCATGGTTTCATTTCATCTAAGTCTTGGTTTCAGGCATTGGGTTCTACTCAGTGGCCTCGCTGGCCTCCTTCTCTAGAAACCGACAGCAGCTAGAAAGGTTGCAATGGAGAGGTCTCGATGTCTCTCTGTCCACAGATAGAGAGGGGTGGACATGATCCCTTCTGGTTGAGTGAGGAACTCTGGGGGGGGGGTAGTGGGCGACGGCATTGGGCTGCTAACCACAAGTCAAGCAGTTCAAACACACCAGCTGTGCCGCTGGAGGAAAATGAGGCTTTCTGCTCCCCTGAAGATCTACAACCTCAGAAGCCGCGGGAGCAGCTCTTGTCTGCCCTAGAGGTATGCTGAGTCACCGTCCACTGAGTGGCAGGAGGTTTTGAGTTTTTTCAAGTTGATAATGTGTCATTTTAACAACCATACCAAACTCCCTGCCATCAAGTGGACGCCGACTCATAGCGACCCTATAAGACAGGGTGGAACACCCCTGTGGGTTTCCAAGACTGTAACTGTTTACGGGCGTCGAAAGCCCCGTCTTTCTCCCACAGAGCGGCTGGTAGTTTCGAACTGCCAACCTTACGGCTCAGCCGAACACCAGTAACCACTATGCCACCAGCGCCCCTATAGCTAGAGCAAGAGCACTTTTATGGAACGTTGTTGAGTGACTGCTTTGTTCACTGCACTTGATTTAATCCTCAAAGCCACCCCGATTGGGTAGCTCCCGTTTTAAAGATGAGACGACAGAGACGGAAATGAGCGGTCATTTGCCCAGGGTCGTAGAGCCCGTGCACATGCCCCTTTGCCGTGCTCTGCTCCCCGATGGCTTCTGGAGGCACCTTCTCCTATGAGACACCGACCCACAGCTGCACGATCAAGAAAGGGGTCTGTCCAGTGAAAGCGCACAGGGCTAAGGCTCGTGAGACTTCACTTTGACACCCAGTCTTCCAGGAGCTTGGGGTGTGCGTGGATGGCTCATTGCTGAGGCCCCTTCTAGCTCTCACATCCTGCGGCTGCAGCAGACAGTCCCCAGTCCTGGCAGAGAGGCAAGGGGCAGGGGCCAGCTCCTCAGCACTCATGCTCCCCCCCGCCTCTGGGTTTTCCGCAGCATAGACTGTCTGTACACCAACACTGCCCACCTCGAGGTGAACTTCCGCGCTGAGGTGATAAAGCCAGGGAAGACGCTGATGGTCCCCATCACCTTCTACCCCCGAGAAAGTATCAGCTATCGAGAGTTCATCCCCTTTGAAATAAACGGGTTGTCTCAACAGACCATTGAAATTAAAGGGAAAGGCACAGAAATGAAGGTAAGGGACCGGGAGGGACATCCCTGGGCTCGGCATGCTCCTTCCCGCCCTTCCCGCCACCCTTCTCCCTCTGCAGGTCCACTCCCAGGTGGCTCTCCCGGAGCCTAGCCAGGCCCACGGGGAGTCAAGTAAGTTTCCGGTGAGCCAGAGACTGTATCTCAGGCCAGACGTCACAGGCGCTGGGCAAAGATTCTTGTCACAGAGGAAGCTGAGGCCACCCCATGCCACTTCCCGAGAGCAGCCTGGACTCCCACATTAGGACATCCTTTGTGTTAAGCAAGTTTGAGATTTAGGACAGCTTTTCTTGACACGCCACGGAGTCACGTTTCCCACTGCACAACAACCGCCAGGCTCGTGTTTGATTTGGGTTGTTCTTCTCTCCAGGAATCCCCTGGTAAAGAGGGACTGGCGGGCCAGTCCCAGAGTCTGGGAAACACACGGAAGGCATCCTTGCTGGCGAGGGTGCCCGCATCTGAATGGAAGGGCTAGGGATCTGGAGAGCACGGAAAACCTTCCAGGACACTCCAGAATGAATCGAGCAATTCAAGAGCCAAGAAAAGAAAAATGGGAGAGGGCATTCTTGCAGCCTTCTTCCTTCTCAAAGCACAGGAGCGTGTTGGAGATGGTAGAGTAACAGGGGTGTCTGGATCCAGGGCAGAGACCAGCTCTTTCCTGGTAGCCTTCATTCATTCCTTCCTTCATTCGGCACTCACTGGGTGTTGGGTACTGTGGGGAGACCGAGTGTGGGCTTACGTGTGTGCTCCCCCGCTCACAGGCTGGTGGGAGAGCCGCTCTGGGTTTTCTCAGACCAAATGGAACCCTGTGGATTGGCGTTCAAGTTAAACACAGTTGGTGGGGAGAGGTCCAGTTCAGTGACCTGTGGGGCCCTCTCCTTGGGGGTCAGTCCCACCCTGATCTTGTTCTGATCCAGGCCAACATTTAAGTCGGTGCCTTCAACATGTGTATGTCGTTCTCCTCCCACCTCCTGCCCCCATTCTAGTCCAAATCAGTCCTGGCTCAGTCATCGCCTCACGGCCGTGTCCTCTCCATTCTCCACAGAGGAACAAGCCAGCACACGCTCACAAAATACACATTTGATTGGGTCCCTCGGCTTCCCTGGCTTCCCATTGCCCCCAGAATAAAGCCCGGCCCCCTCACCCTCAGTGGCCTGCAAGACCTTCTGAGACCTGGCCTCCTTCCACCTCACCAAACCTCATCTTCTCTCATTTCCTCCTGGTAGCCACTCCCTCCAGCTTAGGGTCTTGTCCCCCACCTCAGTCACCCTGACTCTTAAAGTGGCTCGCTCCTACCTTTCCTTTGGCAACTCATGTAAAGTTGGCTTCTTCAGGGAGGTCTGCTCTGAAGACCTCTGCAGGGTGCTGTCAAGGGACCCAGGGCTCTTCCTTCACAGCATGGAGCCCAGTTGGACTGATTTCGTTGTGTGACAAGTTATCCAGTGGATATTTTATGTATAGGAATGTCTGTTGAGTGAGTGACTGCCCATCCTCCAGGAAAAGGGCAGACAGGCCTGGCAGACGCCTTCCAGAGACGCAGCAGTGGGAAACCCCGTAGAGCGCAGTTCTACTCTGACCCACGCAGGCCCCCAGGAGTCGCTGTGGGCACTGGGATGAAACAGGCTGGCACTGGAAGAGGTGGCGCCTCCCTTGCTCACCAGGGTAGACACATCATACCTTCTGTTTCTTTTTCTTATGAACGACTGAATCCTTCTTTCCTGCTCTTTTTCTGCCCCACAGATTTTAGTCCTGGATCCAGCCAATAGGATTGTGAAGTTAGGAGCTGTTTTGCCTGGGCAGGTCATGAAAAAGACAGTTTCCATCATGAACAACAGCCATGCCCAGCTGACATTTAACCTGTCAGCCCTGTACTTGGCTCCAGAACTCCAGGAACCCAAGGTCAGTACCCCTCCTGCTTCCCTGGGATAGGATGGCAGGACAAGCCATCCCAGGGCACCAGAAGTGGCCAGATCATTCTAAGAGCTTTCCACCAGCTGCCGTGTCACCACCACAACAGACAGGATTCTTACTTTGTATCTAAGGAACCCGAGGCTAAGAGAGAGTGTCTGCTTCTAAATGGTAGCAAAAGGAAGTCGAAGGAGACCTTGATTGGGTGGGATTCAGTAGACCTGATATGCGCACAGTAGCAAGTTGAAAAAATACAGAAAATCATCAATATAGATAAAATCTGCCCTTAGTCACATACCCAGAATAACCACCATTACATTTGGGGCCTACCTTACCAATATATATTTTTAATCATTTTATTGGGGCTCATACAACTTTTATCACAATCGATACATCCATCCATTGTGTCAAGCACATTTGTACATTTGTTGCCATCATCATTCTCAATACATTTGCTTTCTACTTGAGCCCTTGGTATCAGCTGCTCATTTTTCCCCTCCCCCCTTACCCCCGTCCCTCATGAACCCTTGATAATTTATAAATTACTATTATTTTGTCATGTCTTACACTGTCTGACACCAATATTTTTCTTCGGCATTCTTTCATACAACAATAACATTTTAATGTCTGTATTGTTTTGAGCACTGCTTTTGTAATCTAACAACAGTTCCTAAACCTTCTCCAAGCCATTAAATGCCCTATTTATCACTCTATTACACAGATGGACCAGTTCTATATTTCAGGGATTTTGAGGATTTTTTTTTTTTTTTAATGTTACAAGCAGCAGTGGACTCTCCATGTATCTGAGCTTTTGTGTGTCTCCATGACTCTGCTCAAGACAAATGCCTGGAAATGGACTTGTTGGGTCAAATGGAGTGAAGGTTTTCAATCCGCATGGCCAGCCTACCCACCCCACTGTACACTCCACCATATCCAACCTGCCACGTTCCCTGGGTGGGGACACTGGCTGCAGTCCTGGCTCCCTATTGTCTATCTTAATCACCAGTGCCCGGTAGCCTTTGGACATTGGCCTGGAAGTGTTCCATTCTGGGAGCCAGGAGGCTGTGTTCACCCCTTGACCCCGTTCTCTTGCATCGATTTAATCAATATGTGCAAGTGCTGGGAATACCAAGGTGACGGTGACATAGGGACGGGCCTGGGAGACTTCATGTTCTTTTGGTGTCACTGCAACCCCCTGGCTACATAAAAGTGCCGAGTCACCGTGTCAGTCCAGAGCAGGCGTGCTCAGAGGACGGAGGGGGCAGGCAGGCCTGTGTCTCTGAGGAGGACTCTCGGAACCCTGGAAGGCCTCACAGCGGGAAGAGGCCTAATGGGGTTGGCAGGATGGAGCGACTTCTCCCAGGCAGACAGGTTGGGGCATTCTTCCAGGCAAAGGTGTGTAGGCTCAGAAGGGTTTTCTGCTTTCAGAGAACTCGGCATGGTTCAGTATGGCAGGGGCACTGTGGACCATCTGGGGACTTAAGGATATAGAAGAATTGGCTTTGAGAGGCCAACCAAAGCAGAGACCTAGGGGGCACCTCACCTCACCTCAGGGTCCACCTTGCCCACTGGGGCATCAAGAGAAGGAGAGCATTCTTGTCATTGTCCTTTCCCGGTGATGCCAAAGGAAAATGTTCAGCTCCGGCAGGCCAGGGACCCTGGCAGTTTGGCCTCACCCATGCTGCCTTGTTAGTAGTCAGATTAAAGCTGCCAGAGTGGCCTGCCCTGGCACTGTCACCCCAAGACCAGCTTCCAGCATCATTATGTTGGAGACTTCTCTAAGATCACTCTCCCAATTTGGCCACGTAGCTCATTATTTCACTCCCTGCTTCCATCGTCCACTTGATTGTCAAAAAAGCTAAATGCTTAGAAGAACACCAAAAAGTAATGCCTCCAAATATATTTCTTGTGAATAAGTATGCTTTTAATCAGGAAAGCGCTCTGAAGAGAAGGTGGTGAAAGCAGGTTCTACTCCTGTGGGTCATTCTCGTGTTTATTTCTTGGGAAGTATCAGGGCGCAAGCAGGATTTCAGAGCCCATCTTTACAGCAACCGAATTACCAAGGACACACCACACATCACAAAACACAGCCGCTAGTCAGGCCCTCGAGTTCCTGCTTCTGCACTAGATCATCTTCCAAAAGAACTCAGTGCTTGAGGCCAGAGGTCTCTACTGAGCCGCCTAAAGGCAACTGTGAGGAACTAGTGCCTTCAAGGTGCAAGTGGACAGCGAGGGGCCAGGTCCTTGGGGTGGGGGTGGGTCCACCCGGTTCTATGAACCCAGAAATTTGGATTTCAAGAGAATCAAGATGATGTTGTCCCGATGTAGACCACTCTGTGCTCTGAGCCAAAGAGGCCAAGGATAAAGAAAGTGCTGGCCCCTGTTCCGTTCCCTTTGATTGGATCTTTACTGGGGACTAAGGAGACATAAGTGGCCAGTGAAACCCAAGCCGTGGTTCACAAACGTTAGAGTTCACCAGTCACCCAGGGCCCTTTGGAAAAGACAGGCTCCCAGCTCTCTGATGGAACTTCTGATTCCGTTGGCCTGGGGCAGAGGCCGGCAAGCTGTACCCTTACGGCTGCAGGGGTGTCTGCTGCAGGTAGCCCAGGGACCGAGTTATCAGACGAACCCAAGCACCGAGTGCTTCTTATTCCCAATTACTCTTTCTTAAGGGAGTCGGAAGAAAAGGCTGAAAATCCCTCCCACTGTGAGAATAAGGGACAGCCAGCTGCCCAAGATTCTCGGGCTAGAAAAGGAGGAGGAGAGGGGACTAGCATTTCCCGGTGCCTGTTATCTCCCACCCTGTCAAGCGTGATCCCATCTTCACCGTAGAACAAGTCGGTGACACCATCCCTAGTGTGCAGGGGAGGAAACGGAGGCTTGTAAAGCCTCAGGGCCCTTCCAGACGATGGCACCCCTAGGATGAGAGCAGGCAGGGATGGGACCCCGAGGCCGAGCCAGCCCAGCGGCTGGACATCCGGTCAATGTGGCCCCAGTCTAGCTGTCTGTGGTTCTGTGTAGGTGATCACCTTGACGCCCTTCAACAACATCAGCCTGAAGCCCAAAGAGATCATGAAGGTGGAAGTGATCTTTGCCCCGAAGAAGCGCATCCCCCTCTTCTCCGAGGAGGTGTTCATGGAATGCATGGGGCTCCTGCGCCCCCTCTTCCTGCTCAACGGCTGCTGCCAGGCCCTGGAGATCTCCCTGGACCAGGACCTCCTCCCCTTCGGGGCCGTCGTGTTTCAGACACAAGCCACCCGGCGTATCCTCATGCTGAACACGGGCGACGTGGGCGCCAGGTAGGAGCCAGGGGCCCGCCCCAGGCTGGAGCAGAGACATCTGTCCCTGGACTCCACCTGGATGGACTAGACCTGCAGCCTTCTTCCCTGTCTCCTCCTTCCATATTGGCAACCCCACTCCTCTCATGTGACAGTGGTGGCTTGGTCAGGGTGGCTGCTATTTCCATGGTTACTAAGAACTAATGAGAGAGAGCGCGCATTATGCTTAGTGTGCCCAGGCTATGCCAGGTGCTGTCCTAAGAAGGCCTTGGCATGGCTCACTCACTTGACCCCAGAAATGGTTCTAAGAGGCTGAAGCTAACACTGGTCTATTTCATACACACGGTGCCAAGATGAGGCATTCCGGTAGCATTTACTGTGTGCAGGTGCAATGCTAGTATTTCTACAGGTAGCGTCTCATCTAGTTGTCATAGAGTCCTCTGGGAGACATATGCGAGGGGTTCCTGAAAGTCCCTGGAAAACTTCTTTGTTCTTTCAGTTTGCTTTTCCACAAACTTTGGAAGTCCCTTTTAGTATATGTGCTGCCGAAGCAAGCATGAAGCCTCTTGTACTAAATCATTCCCATTTCCAAGGGGAGGTTGAGGCTCCCAAGAGATCAGGTGACATTTGCCCAAGGTAACGTTATCAGAAAGTAGAAAAGATACAGGCCTGGGGCCCAGGTAGATCCACACAGCTCACCTTCCCAGGTTCCTCCCTTGTGCTGGACAGGTGCCTGCCCCCATTATTGCTTGGGCATGCTGACATGGCCCCTCAGGCTGTGCCCCCCACACCTGCAGGGGCCACAGAACTGGCAGGGGTGGGTGTCACTGTGACAGCCCTGGTACTAAAAGCACTGGCCTCACTGACCACCTCTGTCTCCTGCTGCACCAAGCACCAGACCCCAGAAGGGGAGGACAGGACCGGTACACAGTACAGATGGGACTATCGGTGGAGGAGACATCCTTAGCCCCTCAGATCTACCCTCATAGGCAGTGCAGGGCGTGGCAACCACAGTCTCCTTGGCCGTGTGGCTCAGGGTGCACCAGGGATTGTGTTTGCATGCTCATGTGTATGTTCCCACACATGTGACTTACGGGGCTTCCGCATTCAGGGTGACAGGTAACATGCAGCCACGTCTCAGCCATGGCATAGCTCTGAGAGGGAGCTGGATCAACTGACACAGGAACTTCTCTTGTCCCGTGTCCCCCACCCACCTTTGCTTGGCCTGGCTTGTACCTGCAGTGTACCTTGCTTGTACCTGCAGTGTACCTGCAGTGTCTTCTTCCTGTAAGGTTCCTGGGGAGCTCTCCAGGAGGGAAGATCTCCTTCCCTGCAGGATGGAGGTCACCCTCAGAGAGTGGCAAACCGCCCGCCATGTCTTCTCTTGAAAAAGGTTTAAGTGGGACGCCAGAAAACTAGAGCCTCATTTCTCCATCACCCCAGAAGAAGGTTATATCACGGCCGGATCGGAAGTGTCTTTTGAAGTGAACTACCACCCCACGGAGATGGGGAAGGAGAGTGTCTATAAGAACATCCCCTGTTTCATCCAGGGGAGCAATCCCCTGAGCCTCACCCTGTCCGGAGTCTGCGTGGGACTACCTGCTGTCAAAGAGGTTAGTTAAGAAGTGCTGTCTCGAGGCTGCACTGGTCGGTGGCCAGAACCCAGCCAGACACTATCTAGACCGTCCTCAGTGCTCAGATCACATATTCAGGCTGCCCCTTCCTACCACGGGGCCTTTGTACACACTGCCCCAGTGCTGAGACGGTCTTTCTCCCTCTCCCTCAGGCCCATTCCTGTTCGCCAGGAAGCCAGCACTAACTTCCTGGCTAGATCACATCCCCTGTTACAAAGTCTGTGAACAAGGAGTTAACAGCTTTCTCGTCTCAGAGGGGTGGGGGGGAGATGGCATTGCTTTTTTAACCCTCCCGGTTAGACATGTTCCTAGAGACCTGACAGTGGCTGTAGGCTGTGTGACCTGTCAACATTGTTTAAGGTGGCAACCTCCTTTAAGGTAAACCTGACACCTGATCTCCCTGGCTCTAATTTTGTTATTTCAAAAACTTGGCATAGATGGAACTACACAAATGTACTCTAAACATGTTGGAAGGGGCCTCTGTTAGGTCGTTTGCTTTTATTTCTCTAAAAGTGGAATGGTTAGGTTGGGTTATGTAGCAGGTGGATGTTTATGTTTTTAAGAAACTATTAAACCATCTACCAAATTTGTGGTTTCATTTTACAGTCCCACCAGCAATCTCTGAGTTTTCCAGTTGCCCCACATCCTCACCAACACTTAGTATGATCAAGTTTTAAATTGTCACCCATTCTAATGTGAAGTCAAAGGTGTGTAGCAGTGCCTCACAACAGTTTTAATTTATATTTCCCGAGTGACACATGATGTTGAGCATCTTTTCAGATATTTATTAACCATCAACATATCTCCTTGGCCGAAGTATCTGTTAAAGTTGAACAAAAGTGTTTTTACTTGAACATCTCCAGTCTAATTGAGTTCACTTCTGTACGTGCAAAGTATGAATCAAAATGTGTTGTTACATATGCATATCCAATTATTCCAAAACCACTTCTTGAAAATGCTGCTCTTTCTCCACTGAATTGTCTCTGCACCTTTGGAAACAATCAACTGTTATGCGGGTCTGCTTTGTCCATCTGACTGTCTTTATGGCAACAGCAGGCTCTGCGTACTGCTGACCCCAGCGGTCAGTTCTGACGCCCATCTCACTTGGACTGACTCGGCACCATGCTTCAGTCCTGCCTCACTGGCTCCCAGGGCATCTCCCTCTCCTAGTTTTCCTCCTACCTCACTGGCTGCTCTTGCTTCTCTCCTTCCGGTTTTTGGTAAAGTTGGACCACACCAGCCAGGAGTTAGTCCTGAGATCCTTTCTTTTTTTCCCCCTAAAGACACTCACGTCCTGATGAGAGCATCTAGTTTCCTGACCTTAAAAAAATATTGTAAATATATTGCTAGACTGACAGCTCTGAAGTCCCCCTCTTCACCTTGGACTGTCCTTTAAACTCCAGATGAGTAAGTCCCACTGCCTGCCCGAGGTCTCCAGTTGGCGCCCGATTGGCCTCTCACATTTAACTTGAGTTCCAGGTCCCTCCCTAAATCGGCACCCCGCCGCATTAAAGGACAATTCCTTTCTTGCAGTTGCTCAAGCTAAAAATGTTGGAGCCTTTCCTCTTTCAGTTACACCCGAGCCAAACCATCATCAAATCCTACTGGCTCCTCAGAATACAACTGGAATCTCCATCCCCACTGCCCACCACCTCTATGGTTAGCGGTGCCAGTCTTGTCAGTCCATGCCAGTCCTGACACTGGCCTGTCGTGGTCTCTCTTCCTCTGTTCTCCCCTGCCTACTGCGCTCCTCGCAGGATCCTGATGGAATCATGACATGCTTTCCTCAAGACACGCCCCTACGGCATCTTGCAATAGAAGGCAAACAGGCTCCTTACCTGTCCCTGTCTCCCCCACACCACTCACACCTGCCACACTGGCTTCTTGCCACTGGTCCAAGGTCAGGACCTTGACTTGTGATGGCTGTATCCTCTGGCTGGGACCATCTTCCTTCCGCCAGCTATCTCAAGACTTCTTCCTTTGTGGCCTTTCATCAAATATGACTTACCTGCGAGCTATCACCCAATTTTAAGCTGCATGCTCGTTCCTCACACTCCCTAGAACCCTGCCTTGCTTTATTTCCCCCTTACAGTGTGGATTCCTATCCTCAATGCTCTGTGTCCTAGGCACCTGTCTACTGTCTGTGTCGCCACAAGCTCTTTGAGATAGCTGTACTTAGGACTTTGTTCACTGCTGTCTGTCCACCACTGAGAGCAGTGCTGGCACATAGACAGTGCCCAGGGGATAGGTACAGAGAAAGGAAGTGACCGGGTGGGGCTCCTGATGGGAGGCATTGCCAGCACCCGTCCTCTCTCAGCAGTCCCTCCCCGCAGGCAGCCCAGGGAGCAGGGCCCAGAGGGTGAGGCTCCTGCTTTCTTCCAGGTGGTGAACTTCACCTGCCAGGTGCGCTCCAAGCACACGCAGACCATCCTGCTGTCCAACCGCACCAACCAGACCTGGAATCTGCACCCCATCTTTGAGGGGGAGCACTGGGAGGGGCCCGAGTTCATCACCTTGGAGGCCCATCAGCAGAACAAGCCCTATGAGATCACCTACAGGCCGCGCACGATGAATGTGGAAAATCGCAAGCATCAGGTAGGCTGACCCCACCCCACCCCACCTCCACCGGCCCCCTGGCATCCCTGAAGGGCAGGACCTGTGTGAGAGCGGTCAGAAGGCGGAGCTTGAGCCCAGAGCATGTTCGAATCCAAGGGGGCAGGGGGAGCCTGCAGCTCACCATGGCGCCATGGGGAAGCGCACAGAATAACTGTCCAGTTTGAAGCGGCCCTGGCCATCCCACGTCTTCATCCAGGGGCTGCTCTGTTCTGAAATGAGTCCCACACAGCATGGGGGGAGAAACTGTTAGCTGTGTTGTCCGTCCCACATTGTGGAGATGGTCCTCGTGACCCCAGAAGAAAGGCAGCCCGCAGGCCAGCATACCCCGCCCCCTTGCTCCATCGTTCTGTACCTGCAGTGTTTCGTCCATATTCCAAGGCGTTCTACAGTAACTAAACACATGCAGGGATTTTTTGCCTTCGGGAAGGTGTTTCCTCGTCGAGTTCCCTAACGTGGGATTCCGGGTCCAAATACACAGTTTTCTGAGCTCGACGTCATCTTGCCAGGTCACTCTCCCAAAGTGACATGTTCGCTTGCAGAGTCTCTACAACCCTGGGATCCAATAAAGGGCATCCCGTTTCTTCTTCCCCTTAGGGGACCCTCTTCTTCCCCCTCCCGGACGGGACTGGCTGGCTATATGCTCTGCATGGGATGGCTGAGCTCCCCAAAGCTGTGGCCAATATCTACCGTGAAGTGCCATGTAAGACACCCTACACCGAGCTCCTGCCCATCACCAACTGGCTGAACAAGCCGCAGAGGTGAGCGAGCAAGGGAAAGGATGGAGGCAGGGGACAGGAAGTGGAGGGAGGGCCTCCACTGTCTAGCCTGGCCCCTCCCCTGGTCTCTCCAGAGAGTCTCCTATTCCTACATGGCGACTGTGAACTCCCAGGAACAAGGCCTGGCATTTAAAAAAAAAAATGTGTGCTTTGTCGTTCACTGTTATTACTGTCGTTGTCATAGATAACGGCCACTGCCCTTGTTATTTTTTTAGTGTTCTGCCCTATCATCTCAGCCACTGGCCAGAGAAGGCCAGAGAAGACTGTCCCTGGGGGCTTGTCCTTGAATCTAAGGTCTGGAGGAGCCTAAGGCCAACCAGCCCGGTCCTTCCCCTTGGAGAGGAGGAGCCAAGGCTGGGAGCAGAGGTGCTGCACACGCCCTGCTTTACCTAGATGATGAAGACCCAGGCTTGAGTTTGAATCCCAGTTCTGCCAGCTACTGGCCAGCCGCCTGAGCACGTTATCTCACTTCCCTCGGCCTCTGTTTCCTTATCATTAAAATGGGGACAGTAGGGATAGGTGCCTCACTACAAGAACTAAATGCCGGCAACACACACACACAGCCCCCAGTCGTTGGTCCAGAAGTGAGCCCTGGTGCACAGACTCCCACAAAAGGAAGGCTAGAGGGCCAACAGTCTCACCTTCTCTCCTCGCTCCGTGTGCTCCGTGTTGCCCAGATTCCGGGTCATTGTGGAAATGACGAAACCAGAGAAGGCAGACCTAAGCATCACCCTAAAGGGCCTCGATTACATTGATGTGCTGTCTGCCTCAAAGAAGGACTATAAGCTGAACTTCTATTCCTACAAGGAGGGCCTATACGCTGCCAAGGTATGGCTTGTCAGAGACGCTGCATCCCTTGGAGTCCAGGGGGGCCCACCCTGAGGCAGCACCCTGGTCTGAGGGAGCCAAGATGTCCTCCCTGGACCAGCTTATGCAGGGTGACTTCAGACACCTCGTCCTATGGGGCTGACCAGTCAGACTGACGTGGCCCTACACTCCTGGCCATGGTATGCAGGGCACCCATCACATAAGCCCAGGGCCAGCCTTCAAGGCTGCAGAATCATAGAAACTCATGGGCGTTGGCGTCCTGGAGGACCAGAGAGGACACAGCAATTGTGCTCTGGTCACCTGGGACAACCAAGAGGAAGGTGAGTCAGGAACAGGAGAAGGAAATGGGGTGACTACTTTCCTCCAACATCAACTGCTTCCTTTGCCACAAGGCCAAAAGCGGGTGGTGCCTGTCCCCTCCCTCCCCTGGTAGACCCTGGGACAGGCCGCTCACATCAGGTCCGCTTTCCCAGGCAGGCACACCGGGAGAAATAGCCGACTCGCAGCGGCCCTGTGAGACCAGGGTAGAACTGCCCTGTGTCGGAGATGTTTTTTACAATGTTCCTGGGAAGAAACATGGAATCTTTTGGGGGGGGGGGATAATTTTTTTATGATGGCATTTTCCCACGAACTTTTTGAAGCCCCCTCACACTCCTAAGGAGAAAAGGAAGGTAATTATTATATTCATGAACCAAGAACAGGGCACTTTAAAAACAAATCCCTGAGAGACCCTGGAAATGAAACCTGGAATGTTTGGACTAGAAAGTCCCACGGAGGCTGAGCAGTGTTGGGGCGTCTGCTGAGCAGTGTTGGGGCGTCTGGGAAGAGCGCTCCCGAGAGTTAGGGGATGCAGCTGAGTGGGATCCCCAGATTTCCGGCCCCGTGAGAACAAAGATATGTCTGGAATGGAAGGACATAAAGATGCGGAGCCCTTGTACACTGCTTCTGTGACAGTAAAGTGGGGCGGTCACTGTGGACCACTGTCGGGGGTGGGGGGCACCACAGGTGTTCTCTGAACAGACATGTATCGATCAGGGGACCTGGCCCACACTCAGCTCATCCCTCCGCCCCCTCCCCGTCTCCCCGCACATCCAGGTGATCTTCCGGAACGAGACCACCAACGAGTTCCTCTTCTACACAGTGAGCTTCCGGGTCATCCCCTCCGGGGCCATCAAGGCCATCGAGATGACCAGCACGGTCCGGCAGAGCACGTCGGCCACCATCAAGCTGGAGAACCCGCTGCCCTACTCGGTGACCTTCTCCACCGAATGCAGGATTACCGAGATCAGCCTGCCCTCCCAGTTTGCAGTGCCAGCCAACTCCGAGGTACAGACCGGGGCAGGGGCTCCTCCCCAGAGCACCCCTGGGCCCACGGGCACATCTTCTCAGGTTGGACCAGCCCTAGTGGCGGTCAGGAAGGCGGGGGAGCATCACACCCACGCCCTCTCCTTCCTTGGCTCACAAAGTCCTCACGTGACCCTGGAGGGAGCGGGGCGTGGGGCGGGCAGGGCCTCTCAGTTCCAGTCCTGGCTTCTGCGTCTGTCCATTCACTCGACATCTTCACATTGCCCAAGCACCCTTTGCGACTAACCATCTGCAAATCTGAGGAGTCCTCTTGTACTCCCTAGTCCTTAAGACGAAGGACAGGTTATGAAAAGGCACTGCCTGCACATGGTGAAAAGGAAAAAATTAAGTGTACAGAAGCATAGGAAACGGGAAGTGAAAATGTCCCGCAATCCTATCCCTCTGCCCTGAGATAACAGCGAAACAGTCTGACATCTCCCCGCGCAGTCTCCTCTCTGTCCATGCATCGACGGATGTCGTCGTCTTCTCCTGACCTCCTTTCTTCCACTTAGAGTATCCCTCACACATTCGTTTCAGAGCTCCGAGCTCCACCTCATCCTGTGAGTGACAACACGACCCCCTGCTGAAGTGGGTCAACCCCGGTGTCCTTGACCGACCTCCCCCTCCTGGGCCTGCGGAGTGTTTTAAAAGCAGCGCTCTTGGGTTTGGTCTGACTCTGCCTTGGGTGACAGTAGGGGAAGGACAACGCCTACCTCAGATGAAGGCAGAGACCGGGAAGTTTGTCTGGGATGAGCAGCCCTCCTGCCCACAGCACCCCACACCCATCACCAGAAGAAGGCTGCTCAGGAGAGAAGCTCACAGAGCTATTCTTAGATTCAGAAAGTTCCAGATACAGCAGCACCCGGGCCCGAGCCCACCCAAGGGTTGTAGAGAAGAGAAGCTGGGCTGATTGGGCAGAGGGTCCCTGGGCATGGGTTGGCGAAGTACCAGGTCTGCCAGCCCACCTGCTAGGAGGCCATGTGCAGGAGGCTGGTTGGCCAGGGGTGGGCCAGACCCTCAGCATCACAGGGGCTGTGCCTTCTCTTCCAGGGCATGTTCTCGTTTGAGTTCCAGCCACTAAAAGCGGGGGAAACCTTCGGGAAGCTTTCTTTGCACAACAGCGAATTGGGTTACTACCTGTATGAGCTCAACTTGAAGGCCATTCCCGCCCTGCCTGAAAAGCCCGTCCACTTCCAGACCGTGATTGGCAACAACCAGAGCGTCTTTGCCAAGTTCACCAATTATACCCGGCAGAAGACGGAATACCTGTGCAGGGTGAGCAGCCCCTGCCCTACCCTCTGCCCTCTGCCCTGCCCTGGCCAGAAGTCCTGGTCCCACAGTCTCAGGAGGAGGACACAGACAGTGCAAGGATCTGAAACTCTGAGAGGGTGGGTGCGTGTCACGCTGCCCGGCCCCCACCTGGGAGGGCTGACTCAAGCCTGGAGACTCCCCGCTGGAAACAAAGCCATCCAGGCCCCAGTCTCTTCCGTTACTGGCCTTCTAGCTTAACCAGTTCCGTGGGGAGATGTCTGCTTCCCATTGAGTGGCCGGGGAGCCGGTGAGGGGGCAGTGAGTGGAGGCTGTGCAAGTGAACACCCTGGACTTGAACCCCAGCTTCTTCCTCGCTCGCTCACCGGTTGGAGAATTCACCTGCCCTCTCTAGGCCAGGAGTCAAATGGCAGTGGGATTTTCTAGACCTGCCTCTGCACGGAGGGGCCCTGGTGACATAGTGGTCACATAGTCAGCTGTGATCCGCAAGGTCCACAGTTTGAAACCACCAGCTTGCTCGCCAGGAGAAAGGTGGGCCTTTCTATTCCCGTAAAGCATGGCTGTCTCAGGAACTCACAGGGGCAGTTCTACCCTGTCCTATAGAATCACTGTGAGTCGACACCAACTCAATGGCGCCAGTGCCCCCAGCCTCCAAAGATTGCTGGGGGTGCGGGGAGGGGGTGGCACAGTGCTTAATCCATATCAAACGCTCCACAGATACTAGCGGTCATACCTGTTGAAATGCAGGATTTGTTACAGAAAAGCAACTCCATGGTGCCGTGGAGCCTTTCACTTCTGCTCCCTAGCCTGCTCCCCCACCCCACCCCTGCCCCCGCCGTGCACTCAGAGCCAGAAAGTTCCATATTCCATGCGCTTGGAAGGAAATGGAACCTAATAGGAGGGAGCAACCCCCCGCCATGACTGCCTCCCCAGCATTGTCCAGCTGTGCGGCTTTGGGCCGGTCATTCAACATGTAAGCACTTCAGTGGGTTCATGGTCAAATAGGGATTAAGAAACAAACAACCAAAAATACTCACTGCCC